AACTAATGTTAACTAATGAACCTTATTGTAAAGTGTTACCAATATTAATATAAATTCTGTCCAGTTTTATTGTGTTTCAGTAAAAGTGTGGTTATTTTTTTGGCTTGTGTTTTTTTTGTGCTTTGTCTTTAAATTCAGTATCATTAAAATTGAGTTAAATTAAAAAAGTGTTACAAAATTACTTTATATTATTTAATAAATAATCATTACAAAGCAGTTTCGGTTTTCGGCCAAGTGCATCCAGAATTTTCGGTTTCCGTTTTGGCCCAGAATTTTCATTTCGGTGCATCCCTAGATGTAAGAAGGAGGACTAGATTAGACTGTAATACAAATAGTTGACTTTGCCAGGTGCATACAACATTTATGACAGGTTTTCATGAAAGTGTTGGTCAGTTTGTCTGCTTGACAATCCCATTTTGCACGACAACAATAACACTGAAGTGAGATCAGATAAACAAGATAAACTCAGATAAACAAACTGAGAAATGTTTCTTTTTAGTTAAAACAGATGTTGTCAAAGTTTTCCTTTGGGGACATAATTTGAAGTTGGAAAAAGGTAATAAATTGCAATATATCGCACAATATCGCAATATATTTAAAATCGCAATAATATTGTATCGTGACACAAGTATCGTGAAAATATCGTATCGTGAGGCCTCTGGTGATTCCCACCCCTAATATATATATATATATTAGATGCAATGTTGTCAATATTGTCTGTTTTTGATTCATAAAGACTCACGACTGAAAATTGTTCCAATCAAAGTCACAGCAGAACTGTTGAGTGTCTCTGATCAACACACAGCAGACGTTCATTACTGAATGAATCCACGCTTTTGAACGAATCGAGTGATTCAGTGACTCATTCATAAAGACATTGTTTCTGAGTGAATAAGCTGTTTGAACGAATCTGAATCTGAATCTGAATCAGAATCAGAATGAGCTTTATTGCCAGGTATGTTTTCACATACAAGGAATTTGTTTTCATGCCAGAAGCTTCCGCAGTGCAACAGAATGACAGCGACAGTACAAAAACATAGATAATAAAAGAAGAATAAAAAAATTAAAAATAGAACAAGTAAATAAGAAATAAAAATATATAAATTGACAATTGTATGTGCAGGTATATTACAATAAGACAGTTTTGTATGTACATGTATATTATGTGCAAATTTGAGGTGAATGTGCAGTCGTTGGTGTAGAGGGAGAAGAGCAGTGGAGAGAGAATCTGTTGAATTAATGACTCAATGACTCGCTCAAAAAAAAAAACTTGCTGCCATCTACTGGTGGTTTTAGATTCACATTTGGAGTATATATATATTTTTTTAATCTCATCTCAGTATTCAAGTATTTTACTCTCATAGCATATGAGATATTGTGTGTGTGTGTTTAAAATCTATGCTCAAAATGTTGTTTCCTCTCCAGAATGTCCCTACTTTAGGAGTGTCTGCGCTCAATCTGGCAACATACCTGTGTGATGAGGTGAGCTTAGCAGGCTTTGGCTATAACCTCAGCCAGAAAGATGCTCCTCTCCATTACTACGACCACAGACTCATGACATCCATGCTAAAGGAAGCCATGCATAACGTGCAGACCGAGACGACTTTCCTCAAGCGTCTGGTATCATCAGGCAGTATTACTGACCTCACGGGAGGAATCCACTGCAACTTCTGTTCAAGATGACTGTCTTCTGTTGAGGCACAGACTCTCTCAGTGGCACGTGTGAGGAAGAGTTCACAAAAGTGAGGGAATAACTTAAAAACAATCATTGAAACACTGCTAATGAACTGCTGAGTATTTTACCGTTTACAGCTGTGATACTGATGCTCTGAATGTTCTATTTTATATCAAAACTAATATCATAAAAAGATTAAGGTTTTAGATTAAACTTTTAATTTTCATTTTTAGTGTCTTTTGTTTTAAAAAGATGTTTTGCCAAAGTAAAGTATTTTATTTAAAGGGGTCCTATTATGCTTTTTCACTTTTTCGTTGTAATAATTTAAAATATGTGAAAAATAATGTGTTTTTCGAACAACCTAGTATGAGAGCCTGTTCTAGTACACCCCCAAAACAAAATCAAGACTTTGTAAAAGAGCATAATAGGACCCCTTTAAAGCAGTTTGGTGGGTAATCAATGACAATGACTTTTTTTTTTTTGTACGAATGTTTATATTAATATGCAATATAACCTTTGCAGATTCTGGTTGTCTGAACATGCAAAATGTTATAATTTGTCATTTTCATTAGGCATATTTTTTGTTAATGTTACATCTGTAATATTTTGTTATATCTGTGCAATAACTGTACTCTTCCAACAGATGGAGCCGTTGTAGAAAATACACTGAATATAGTAAACCACTTGTAACTACATTCATCTTTGCTTTATTCTTGAATTTAGGTCGCACAATTGCAGCAAAATGTCCCAGACTACATTTGACACGTGAGAAATGTATTTCTTATTTCCATTTGCCTTTGTGTCATGTGGACACACTCGCACACACACACACACACACACACACACACACACACACACACGTGTTTGTACACAGGATACAAATTGTTCCTTTCTGGCTCTGGCCACTATTTTGAGGAACTGCAGTGAGCTGAAAGATCTCTAGCTAGAGACTGCAGCAGTAGTGGGCATTAATAGTCTTTAGTCTTTCTGCAAGTCTGGGTCTTGTTTGTTGTTTGTTTGTTGTAATTAAGGGGCTGATTAACGCTAGCTGTCTGATGAAGAAATACTACTCATTGATACAACTGCAAGACAGTATTGAGATTTTCACACTTCATTCGGCAGTACAACCATTTTCACACACACACACACGTATATGTGTGTGTAGTTTCAAAGCAGTTTTACAGACAACCATGTGATAGCATTGGTATTTATGGCATTCTTGCTTCATTGCTTGCTTCATCAATGTGTCTTTCGTTTTTATGCTGTACATACACTTTTTAAAAGTGATTTTGTGTTGATCTTTATTGTAGGCTGTGTAGCGGGTCTGAAGGTCTGATGTGGGTCATCAAGCATGTCACTGTGTTTTGATCTGCTGTTGTGACATATTGAATGCTGTTTCTGGGTCCATTTCCATTTATGGGTTCAACAGCATTATGTATTTAGCTTTTAAAAACTCAGTGTTTACTATAGCCTCAGGGCTCACAGTGTCCTGAACACCAATATTTTTAATATTCAGAGAAGAGAAATCACAGTCTGACATTTCGGTAAGGAGAAAAAAGGTTAGGATTATGATTATTTTTTTTATTTATTTATTTTATTTTTTTACAGCACACTGTGAGTGTCTATTAGCACAGTTTGTTTTTTTTGGCATCTGATAGAGCGTTTTTACCCAGAAACAGTGACGTGTGATGTCAGATAGTGCTATAGCTGGAAGATCAGTTAGTAAAGCATTGCAATTATCTTCAAATGGCAAAAGAAATGTGTAGAGTATTGAGACAGGTGGGTGTGATTGTCCTGATGTTCTAGAGCACCACCTTTTTTGCGGTTCACCGCATTTTTGCCCATCCAACGGTTTAATTTGTACCTTAACATAGCCCCCTATGTAACATCTGCTGGAACTGAGCCACATTTTTGGATGGTCGAATGTTCCTGTTTTAGATGCTTCCCTTTCCTTTAGCTGATAAAACAAATCATTAAAAAATTTTCTCCTTGGACTTTCTCCTGGAATAAGACTGATCTGGACTCTGTAATGTTATGTATGTAGAATGAGAGGAGGCCAAGCATCGAACCCTGTGGTACCCCAGGGGTTAGACGCCTCTCCTTCCCAAAAGAACTTAAAGCTTCTGCCCTTCAGGAAAAACTCAAACCAAGGTTCAGCAGAATGAGGATGAACAGATCTCGAGGCAGATCTCACCAAATGCTGGAGACAGATATGGACATTCACTACTTTTTAGAGAGTCTGTGGTATGGAATAAGTAAAAAAAAAAAAGTGAACATTAAATAATTGTCCATCTTACTCATTCATCAGGACTTAACCTTTGAGCCAGTTAATTGCATAAAATAATTAAATAAATAAATAGTTTATTTTTGCCGTATACTTATTCTTTTTATATCACGTGGTAATATTCAAATAGAAGTAGCTCGATGCATTTTACTTCATTTTTATCAGAGCTGCTGATGTGAAACAGAAATGTGTGAGCTCTACGTGAAGCAGATCTAGACAGATGGAGCTGAGAGGAAAACTCTCACAACACACTGCAAGTCAGTCTGTTTAGCAGCTGTCAGCTTATGAAATCATCAGTCATGTAACCTGTCCAAAAAGATGATCTTGTGCCATCCGCAACCTTACAATGTGTCTGGTTAACTAAATGTAAGTAGTTAAACACTGCTTATAAACATTTGCTAAGCTCTAATCAATCGACAGTCTAAGTTGTTTATGTATTATTTGCTCAGTGGAGGAACAGAAAGTGTAAAACTTTCACAAACAATCAAATGCATTATATACACTACCTGGCCAAAAGAGCTGTGCTTGGATGCGATGACTGGATCATTATTGCTTTGATTAATACATTTCTGGCACGTTGCATGGTTGTCGGAACTGTATATGTATATGTGCATGTGTGTATATATGTAGAACAACAGATAATACAGTCTGTGACATAATTAAATCATTGATTCGTTTGATTTAATGATGTGTTTATAGGAGTCCCACACAGGTCAGAATGACCAGATGTTTCCTTCTGGAGTTTGATGTTTTTGGCAGGTCACCAGCAACTGCCTATTAATTCCTCAGAAAAGCAGTTCTTCAGTCATGAAGATGAATTCTTGGACTACATTTAACTACAAAACAGTATTTCAACAGTAGATACATGTATAAAATACAGACTAACATAAGTGACTGGCTGACAGAGCCACATACTGTAGAGCATAGACTTCAGATTCCCGTTTAAGAACTAGATTGTTAATATGAACCAAATGGAAGACAAGCGATGAGTGCTGAATTATATGCATTTATATCATGGTTTATAATGTAATTGATAAAATGAAGAATAGCATAATTATATGGATTACAAAAAGAAAAGAAAATGTGCGCTTTCTTGCACATGGCAGGACATTTTTGACAGAATTTGCACATGAACTAGCTCTGCACGATTTGTTAAACTGCAAAACAAACAAAAATAAATAACCAGTCTGTAACAATGGAAAATGAACTGACTTCATATCATCTGTGTTTGGAAAGTGTTTCTGCTGTGCAAAAGTTGTACAAAAGCATATCCAGAGCCTAGAGCGGTTTTGTTTTTGACTCGGTTAGCTGTAGTAAAGTCAATAGTGCAGTGTAAAATCACTTTACACTTTCATTACATTACAATTCGTTACATTTCCAGCATGGGGAGAGTGTCTTCATGTTGATGGAGGATTGAGGTCCTTCTTTCTCCACATACACTTTCTTCATTTTATTCCTGTTGTGAAGAGCAACAACAAAATCAATGTTAGCAGTCAAAAATCCAAACAACAAAACTGACTAGATATAGCAGTCTATTTGCTTTGAAATGGACTTGTTGAAAAAGGTTCCCGAGTTGCAACATTCATGCACATTTCCATGTTCGCTCAGTGCTTTTCAAGCCTCTGCTGTGCCAAAACATTTTTCCCCTCAGACTCACTGGCTCTACTTGACAAAGGGATTTCTTTCTTGGCCGGCGCCCCCCTCCTCCTCTCGTTTCCCCTCGCCTCTGTAACAGCTGCTCCGTAAGAGAGTGATGAGCGCTGCGTTTTTATTTCAAAGTGTTTTTTTGGAACAGATGGCCAAGGGAGAACTGGGGAGCGGGCCAAGAGCGCGCTGGGGAATGTGCCAGTTCCTGCAGCGAATGCGTTCTCTGGGCTCGGCTCGCGTGCCTTCCCCCTGCCCTCTGCCCTGAGTGGCGCCAGCAGGACTTCCCAAGCAGCGCTGCGAACATCTGGTGTCTGGCTCTGACGGGACGGGGGGAGCGCATGAGCTCACATGCAGCGCTGCCTGCCTTCACACACAGTCTCCAGAGCCTTCATGTGTGCAGCTCTGCCACAGCTGCTCAATTACTACTAATAACCGCATTATAAACGTTCTGAACTCTCTCCTATCTGAGGAAAACATACATTATGTGCATGATGATATAGGATAGTGCTGCAGCAAATCAGGACTACATGACTGTCAAAAAACTCCCCCAAAAACATCAGTCACTCCATTTATTCGGCCGGGACGCAGTGGAGGAAAAAGCTGGCAGAACACCCAGTCCTGCCTCTGACAAAAGCTGATGATAATTTCATTTAATGGGATGGTTATTAGGCACAGGGGAAGTCCCTCTAATTGGCATGTATACACACATATAATGCATGCTCTGCCATTATTACTCTTATGGCTTGCAGAAAATAACTAGTGGATGGCAGAATCATGTCCAAGAATTCAGAATGCACTTCACACTGATAGTCCAGTTTAGACATTCTAGACATCAGTAACTTTACAAAAGTGTTTAAACTGCTTTTATTTTACGTTTTTTCATGATTGAATGGATTATTAGGTTTTTATCAACTCACTAATGTAATGTTTAATGCATTTTATGATGTTGATATCAAAAAGTGGAATATATTTTCATCTTCTCTGTTTTATATCGATACACAGTACATTTCATGTAAGTAAATGTAACAAGTAATCTAAAAAAAGTAATCTGAAAGTACTCTAAAAAGTAGTCAGATTACATTACCTAAAATGAGTAACCTAGATTACGTTACTAACAACAGTTTTCATCATGTAATCTGTAATCAGTTAAGTAATCTAACCAGCTCTGACTATAAGTCACTCTGCAAGAAACAGTAGGCGCGTTTCCATTACCCTTCAAATTGCGCAAATTTCTGAAGTGGCTCTCTTTGCTGCTTCTGTAAAGATACACGCATAAGCCTCCTTTGAATAAATATAGCCAAAATCCCACCAAAATCCATTGCCATGACTTATCGCGAGAGGCAAAATGTTACGTTTAAGTCTCATAACATTGGTTAATGGAAACGCCATCATTTCGCAATACTTTTTTATCGACATTTATAAAATATCGCCAAAGTTTTGTGCAAATCTGTAATGGAAATGCGCCTAATGTTAACTTATTCTACTAACCCTAACCTAACAGTCTACTAATACTCTAATGAGAGTTAGCTGACATATAGTTGCAAATTAATGAGAGTTAGCTGACATGTAGTTGCAAATTAATGAGAGTTAGTTGACATGCAGTAGTCAGTTGAATGTGTGTTGGGGAGTTTTAAAATAAAGTGTTAGCAGATATTAAGCTACTAATAATGACTGCTAGTTAACATGTAGTTATAAAGTCACTTCTAGTAAACAGAAGTCTAATGTGGACTATCAAAATAAAGTGTAGCGGAATGCAGTTGAGTCTTAATCTTCTAGTCGGCGGTCTATAATTATTCACAGTTTGTGAGTCAGTGTCATGGTTCACACGAGAGCAACGTGAAATACACACGTGGTTTTCTTTCCCAAAGTCATGTAATAAGGATTCTATCAGTTGAAGAGTGAATCCAGAAGCAGACGCTGGACTCGTACCTTCCTCTTCTTGGAGCGTCCCTCGGCCTGCAGCGTCCGGGTGCACTGCTCCACACACTCCCTGAAGCTCAGCTTGCTCTGGTCCGGAGAGTAGTCCAGGTCTGCCAGCTGAGCCAGAGACAGTATGTAGTTGCAAGCGATTCTTAATATAGCCAGCTTGGAGAGCTTCTGGCCGTACGAGTAGCAGGGCACCTGTGAAAGCAGATGTGAGGAAATGCAGGCTAAACAAACGATGAAAACGTATTATTGATTGATCAGAAGTCTTCCTCAAGGGCAGCTCAGTCCGTTAACTCCACACAGACCGACACCATCTGATGAGAACACAACCTGAACTGAACTTTACAGCTGAATCACTGTTATTGAACCGAACGGACTCAAACTGAACTGAACTTGTGTCAAACTGATGAACTTCACACTCTTACTGATCTCAGCCAACACTGAAGTGACTGGGATGGTCTTGTTAGAGTTGCTTTGCAGCAGAACTGGGATTTGTCACATGTTTGATTGAGTTGCATCACTGATTCTGATGTTTTCAGTGTTGCCAACTTAGCAATTTTGTTGCTAAATTGAGCAACTTTTCACACTACCCTAGCAACTTTTTATTCTAAAAGCATCTAGCAACAAATGTAGCTATTTCTAACATTTATTTGGCAACTTTTAGCAACTTTTAATAAGTGACTCAAATGATAAAAAAGGCACACATTTTCATCTAAATTACACAAAAAGAGGAAACCAAAGATGAGTACAGGCATCATGTGAATCAAGCTACTTGCTGTTTGCAATTGTTCGATCTATTAATAATAATATAATTGTTCATTAATGATACACCTTGTTAGCTTGTAACTGTGATTGTTGATCACTTAGTACACTGTAGGAAAAATATCTAGAAAAATGGAGAAGGTACTAGTAATTTTCCTGGATATTATGCGTTATTCATTATCCATTGTAACCCGAAAACACTAAATACAATGCAAAAATAAAAAATGCAGGTAAAAGACCTGTGAAAAATCAATACGGAAAATTCCTTCATATTAATATAATATTAACATATTATATAATAATATTCAATGTTGTGTTTAAAAATACAGTTGTTTATATTTTAATATTATATTATGCATTTATATTATTTGACGAACAAATCCAAATGAACATAAAAAATATAATTTTTGCTGAGATTTGATGCAGTGACAGAATTTTGCGTCGTGATTACGTAACGACGTCATCGCGCAATGACATCACAACGTCATTTAGCAACTTTTTAGCAACAAATCAACCTTCCTTTAGTAACTTTCTCTGAAAATTAGTTGGCAACACTGGATGTTTTCCTGGTTATTTGAAACAGTCTCTGTTATATAAAGTGCTATTTCAGGTGTGTGCTGCCTGCAATAATTCAACACCTTAATGTTGAATCTTCCAAATGTATAAGTGAGTGGCCTGGATGTGTTATATTCGCTGATGATTTCAAACTTTAACTTTGTGTTGTGCTGATGGAATAAGTTACAAGTATGTAACATCTCCATCAAAGCTGCACAAATGAGAAAGAGCTTTTACAATAGGACAGCATCTGTCGTTTGTTGAAAAGCTTCTGGTGTAATAAAGTGGTCACTCCTTTGCTTCTATCCTAAGGTTTATGGCAGTCTAGGTGTATTCTCCGCGAGCAGCAGAGCCAGAGCCTCGCGGAGTTTACCTGCTTTCGCAGCGCCTCGAAGGCTGCGCTGATGGTGTGCACACGCGTCCTCTCGCGCGCGTTGGCCAGCAGCCTGCGCGTCTGCTGCATGGCTCTGATCTCCGGCGGCTCTCCGGCGCGTCTCCTCGGTGATTCCGCGCTCTCGCCAGGCGCCTGAGGCAACGCTCGCTCCAGAGCAAAACCCTGCGCGCCGCGCGTGCCTGTTTGAGCGCTTCTGCCGCTCACAGACTTCTCGGAGACGGCGCTCAGTTTGGAGTCAGGAGCCTCTCCAGCCATCGCGGTGTTTATCCTCATATCCAGAGCGGTGTTTAACACGCTCTCGTCCCCCGACGCGAAGATCCCCGAGCCGCGCGTCTCTTTCGGACCGCCGTCTGTCTGTGCCATGAGACGCGCGTTCTTGTACAGGTTAAAGTGAGGTGAATGGTCGTCACTGACGCGCTTGAGTGGCTCTCGCGCTTTGCGCTTCAGTCTCTTGTCTCCCGAGTGCAGGGTCTTGCAGTGGCCGTCTAGATGCGGGTTCTTCATGTCGGAAGTCCGCTCTGCCTGAAGGTCCAATAAGAAGATCAAATGCAGCAGGAGAGTCTTCTAGGAGGAACATGCCCGCTTCATGTCAGAGTTTGTGAGGCGACGCGCTGCTCCTGCGGGTTCCGAGAGTCTTGTGCAGTCAGGCAGACATTGCCAGGACATTTTTGTGAATGTGCTCGACAGTTCAGAGACACACAGAGACAGACACACAGAGACAGAGACACAGAGACACACAGACACAGACACACAGACACAGACACACAGACACACACACACACAGACACACTCACACGCTCACACAGACACACACACACACACACACACACACACACACACACACTCTCTCACACACAGACACAGACACACACAAGGTGGCACTCTTGTCACACTTAATATAATAATACTCTGTGTCTCTGTCAGAAAGCAGGCGTGAGGGCAGTAATCATCATCAGTAATCTTTCTAATAAAATGTAAATATTACAGAATATTATAACATTCGGCAGCTGCTTGTCAAGGTCTTCATATCAGGAGCTATGAAGCTTTTACAGCTAGATTAGCACTGTTTGCAATATAAACTCTGTATTATATAGTTTACAATTGAACACTGTAGCCTAAATGCAAACAACTGTCTCAAAAGAAAAAAAAAAGTCTGATTATATTTATTTTTATAATTGTATTATATATAGTTAGGTAGGTTATTTTTCACTATAAACCGCAAAGTTGTTTCGGGTGGGATATCCTTGAGTCAGTGCCTCTGACATTAACACAGTTGACAGCCTGTGTGAAGCAGCACACACTCCATATGATCTGCTGACAGCTGAGCACAAGCTCCTCTGCTCCGTGATCACCACACTGACATCTCCATCAGCACACTTTCTTTCCCTTTACTCCAGGACGCACATTTACTCTCCTCATGCAGTTCAAAGCACAAAGCCATCGTTATGCCAACAAAAGTATTCAAATAGTCCCAAAACAAAATGAAGTTAACTTTCATTTTACTAATGTACTCAAAAGAATTAAATTAAAATGACAAAATGTTCAAGAACAGCATCAACCTTCTCTGTTATGACCTGGATCCCAGTGAAACGGCTTTTCAAATGAGAAAAAAATGTAGGTGATCTTGATTTTGTGCGTCAGGGAACTTGTTTGCTCTCTCTCTCTCTCTCTATATATATATACAGTATATATAATCCATGTTCTTTATGGTTTTGAATTATATTGCTTAAATGTAATGGAACAGCTTTAAAAAAGGAGTTGGAATAAAAATATATTTAAAAAAAAAAATGTTTTGTTACAGCAAAAAACGTTATGAATAACCAGGGCCGTGCACAGACCTTTTGAGGGGCATGTGCTGAAACTGAAAAAGCCCCCCCTCCTAATGATAAAAATCATGCATGATAAACTATAAAGATTTCACAGTGATTTGATTCTGTAAAGTTTTTTTTGGTTGCAACAACATTACTGTAGTAAAACCATGTTTTACAACGTGTATACATTTGAAGACGAGCAGAGAGTATAGAATACTAGATTAAAAAATTAGCTAGCTAGAATACATGCATATTAACAGCGTAAACATGAATTAGCCATGCGACCATATAATATGATTAAATGTTAATAAATTAAGTGTATCAGCAATCATACATTTCTTAGAAATATATTTTACCTAGGTGACGAGGATCACTCAGTCGCTTTGTGTCAAACTCAAATGCAGTTACGGGGTTTTTGACCAGTGAATGTGTGCAAATGTGCATTTTGTCCGTCATTAAAACGGCGGCGTTACGTTTTCATCACCAGGTGTTTGTTGTAGCTATAGGGCGCGGCGCTCAGTTTCAAATATATCAATTATTAGCCTTTATAGACTTAGTGTTTCTTGCGTAAAGAAAACGCTGTACTTATTCAAACAACAAGATCTTTATTTACCCTTGCAGACCTAGTTCAGCTGCTGTGGAACTTCAGTTCATTCAGTCAAGATAGAGGGGGTGGAGTTATGAGGTTTACTGACAGTCTGAGCGGATCCAACAAGATTTAGTCACAAGCTCTTTTTAATACCTTTCATTAGATAGATATTTGTAAAGCAGACAGACAGATGTAAAGGGAGACTAATATCATTGATTTATTGAAGGAAAAAAAAAACACCATCACCAAAAAAAGGGCACTTCGGAGTGTAAGGGCAAAAAGGGCATGTGCTCTGCACCAGTTGAGCCCTACCTGTGCACGTGCCTGTGAATAACTGAAGTAAATTTTCCAAAAATCTGAACTGCATTCTCAGGACAAGAGTATTTTTCATAAATTTATTTTTTTGCATATACCTTTTCTATTTTTGCAGTTTAATATATAGTTTTGTTTTATTTTTGTTATTGTTGAAATTTTGCTGAATAGGCATTTAATTGGCTATACTGCATTTTAAATACTTTAAAATAACACTGTGTTTTGCTTCAATTTACATGAAAGACTTTTTTTGGATGTACTTTTAAAAACAGTGTACTAAACATACTTAAAAAATACTGTTAAACAATACAACTACAATTTAACAAGGAACAACTTTCTTGCTTCTACTTTTTGAATCTGACAGCTACGTGTGGCATTATAGGACTTAATTAATTATTATTCTTTTTGATTCAGTAATGCCCTTCAGAAGCTACGTAAAATATTAATATATTTCATAGAAGACAAAATAATTTTCTGATCCTGATTTCTCCCAAGGTTTTTTTTTTGTCTCCTGGTGGAGTTTTTTTTCACATGTCCACATCATGCCGAGGCTGCTCATCTCTCATTCCAGCACCAACAGATGTAACCATAATTAGGTGTTAATCATAATGAACAACACTCTTTGAGCAGTAGAAACAGTCCTTCTATCCAGAAGCTCTTTGAAGACCAGATTACTACAGTGTAGGCGAATTTGGCCAAGCAAAAGATCAAGATATGTGAGATATTAGCATATTAAATGGCACTAGAGATACTCTATAAATGTATCAATCTGTCAGCACTGACAATATCAGATGAGAAGAAGAACTGAATTATGCTGAATATTGACACTATTGTCTTCTGCTTTATTATAGGTGAATCAGATTTGTTCATAATGGATGAACTTTACAAGTTGTTGATCTGACTGGATCTGAATAATAACTCTGTTGTGTGGTTAGAGCTGTTTTACAGCAGAATTAGGATCTGTCATTTATTTGATGACGTTTGCATCATTGATTAACTGTGAAGCTTATCAGAAATTCATAATGTTGGTGTTTATAATACACTAAAGCCTAATAGTCCACTTTGAACCATTTAGATCTGGACCAAAGCATGCATATGAAACGACTATAAACAATCAAACAGCTGAGAACTGCTGTAGTATACAGTGTATTGAGTGATTATGGCAGTGTACTGTATGTATGTGGATATAGCTGGATATAATTAATACTAGTTGCAAGATGGAGTTATTAACTCATTATGCACTCGTATGGCAATCTGTAAGGTTTGAAAGGTATGAAATCAGTAAGGTTTTGTTCAGTTTATACCAGTTTGCATTAGAAGTGCCAATCCCAATTACTGTACAGTTTGGTGGTGTGTGTCACTGCAGGGTTTAAGATTGTGCTCATATCGTCCAAGCCAAAGTGTCTGTGACAAGAAATGAAAAAGAGAGAAACCTTGGGAGAAATCAGGCAACAGCAGGCCAGTGTACAGTCCAAATACAATGAGAGTAATCAAGCTTATATATTACTACAGAACTGTAAGATGAATTTGTGGGAGTCTTTGAGGTCCATCCAGTGTTGAACAGTAAAATTAGTGGTAGATGAAGGGATGTCTTGGGCTTCTAACATGTGTTCAGTGTCAAACTGAAGGGAATTCACGCTGTGTCGAAACACTGCGGGATCGCCTCTGCGTGATTGCGTCTTGAAGCATGTGTGAAATCAGTCCAATGGAATGGCAGAACGTCTGAACAGTTGATGGGCACCATCAAGTTTTTTTTACACAAGTACAAGTCTGTTCGGATACTAACATTTTTCAAAATATCTTCTTTTGTGTTCAACAGAAGAAAGAAACTCGTACAGGTTTGGAGCAAGTGGAGGGTGAGTAAATGATGACAATTTTAATTCTGGAAGTGAACTGCTCCTTTAAAAGTGCATCTGGAACAAACTACGCTAGTGTCGAGATCGTGGAATAAACCATATTCAGCTTGGCTCTTCAGCCCCACTGTTACGAATTATTCCAACATTAGAGGGCTGAATAAGCAGGGCCATGGGGCGATGCCTAAGGTGGAACAGACTATTCCTAAAGTCCCTGACATTACCCACCAAGCTGTGCAGAACAACTTCGGCTTTGGCGGGTAAGGTGTCTGCATAATATGGCTTTGTTGCAGGCATACCAGGCTGACCTGCTGTGAGATCTTGATGAGGGCGAGGGGGCAGACCTGGACGCATTTCAACAGATTTGTCTCTTCGAGCCACTAAGGAGATGGCCAAAGCCATCGGCCGATCTATGCACCAAATTGACTACTGAAAGTACAATAGAATACAGTTTTGAGAGGCTGGTTCCCTTAGTAGACCATCTGGCATCATGGAAACTTCTGCCAAATGTGTCTCAATGGGTCCTGCAGACTGTACACTGTAAAAAATGAATTTAATGGTAAAAGACCGTAAAAATGCTACAGTAAAATCCTGTTAAATGGTTAACGGTAAATTCCCCTACTATATACGGTGAAAAACTGTTTCTCATCACCACCTGCATTTGGTGGTTATCAGTGTATTACAAAGGTACAAAACAGATTTCAGTACTTCAATAAGGTTAGTATATTAACATTATATCAGTTAATGAAATTACGGTATTTAATTGTAAATTTAAGTTAAAACCGTAAAACCTAAAACATTGCTACCGTATTTTTTACGGTAAAATTCCGGCAACCACAGCTGCTGGTTTTTTACCGTATATTTTACGGAATTTTTTTAACAGTGTAGAGAGAGGCTACAGAATCCAGTCTGGTTCTCGACCGCCTTGATTTAACAGGGTCACTCCGACACTGGCCTGCTGTACATGAGCGCTTTGCAGTGGTGGCTCAGTACCAAGGGTTTTTTCCCAAGGGGCAACCCATTTCTCATGATGCCTTCATGTGGAAGAACCCTTGGTTCTTGTCTCAGGGTCCTATGTTGGGAGCTCCTTCTCATTGCGTAACACTTAAGATAGATGCATCCTTCATGGGCTGGGGGGGTGATCATGAATGCTCTTTATATATATATATATATATATATATATAAAGAGAGAGAGATAGTTTTATAATAATAATAATAATGATGAAGATGATGATGATAAAGAAAGTCCAGTGTTTTTCTTCAGAAACACACACGTTTAACCATAGCTGGTTTTATGTGTGTGTGTGTGTGTGTGTGTGTGTTAGTGTGAGTGTGTGAGTGTGTGTGTGTGTGTGTGTGTGTGTGAGTGAGTGTGTGTGTGTGAGTGTGTGTGTGTGTGTGTGAGTGTGAGTGTGAGTGTGAGTGTGAGTGTGAGTGTGAGTGTGAGTGTGAGTGTGAGTGTGAGTGTGAGTGTGAGTGTGAGTGTGAGTGTGAGTGTGAGTGTGAGTGTGAGTGTGAGTGTGAGTGTGAGTGTGAGTGTGAGTGTGAGTGTGAGTGTGAGTGTGAGTGTGAGTGTGAGTGTGAGTGTGAGTGTGAGTGTGAGTGTGAGTGTGAGTGTGAGTGTGAGTGTGAGTGTGAGTGTGAGTGTGAGTGTGAGTGTGAGTGTGAGTGTGAGTGTGAGTGTGAGTGTGAGTGTGAGTGTGAGTGTGAGTGTGAGTGTGAGTGTGAGTGTGAGTGTGAGTGTGAGTGTGAGTGTGAGTGTGAGTGTGAGTGTGAGTGTGAGTGTGAGTGTGAGTGTGAGTGTGAGTGTGAGTGTGAGTGTGAGTGTGAGTGTGAGTGTGAGTGTGAGTGTGAGTGTGAGTGTGAGTGTGAGTGTGAGTGTGAGTGTGAGTGTGAGTGTGAGTGTGAGTGTGAGTGTGAGTGTGAGTGTGAGTGTGAGTGTGAGTGTGAGTGTGAGTGTGAGTGTGAGTGTGAGTGTGAGTGTGAGTGTGAGTGTGAGTGTGAGTGTGAGTGTGAGTGTGAGTGTGAGTGTGAGTGTGAGTGTGAGTGTGAGTGTGAGTGTGAGTGTGAGTGTGAGTGTGAGTGTGAGTGTGAGTGTGAGTGTGAGTGTGAGCGTGTGCGTGTGAGTGTGAGTGTGTGTGTGTGAGTGTGAGTGTGTGTGTGTTTCCAAGCACACGGGCGCCCGTCTGTTCCCGGGCAGAGTGCCAGTCATCCAGCGACCTGCTGCTGTTGCTCTGATACGACATTCCTCTGGCTCTGCCTGTGCCCTGCCTGACGCCAGCACTCCACACGAGCCCACAGTAAACACTCACAGCTGCTGAGATCAGCCAGTGTCTCCTCACACACTCAGCATGACTCAAAACATCACTTAGAAACGTTTCCTGGATTTTCATGCTTGTGCTGGTGAGATTACATCAAAGAAATGAATCATGCATATATTTAATATAATCATAAATCATACTAAACATATTTATAAACATGATTTACAAGTCAAGAACAGATTTTATGGTAGGCTGTAACAACACTCTTGACACTAATTTATATAATTTAGGCATAAGTTTTAGTTGTAGTTTTTAAAACAACTTTAGTTTCTTACAGATATAAGCCTGTATACACATTTGAGACACTCATTTACAGATGAAAATATAAAAGATGTATGAAAAGTCTTGCTATTATACTATTTCCTACATAGTTTGTGTTTAGTTTGAACTGTGTTTTTAGACTAAACTTAGTCAACTGTATAGTTAGTGTTCGCAGGTGACACAGTGACATCTAGTGGAGGAGATGAATAGTGCGACTCATATGATCTTTAATGAAAATGTTAATTCAGTTATCAGAGCCCGATAAAATATCAATATCAGTGATTATGCCAGAATTAAACATAGCTTTGCTTTATTAAGCTGTTAACCTTTTACGTTTTTACTGTTAAGTTTTATTCTAGCATCATGCATTCTATGCATCCGGATGGGATTCAGATCAATGATCAAAACACAGATGGAGTAGATGATTTCTATCAACACCCCCAAAGCTTGCATTTCATTCAACAGTTCAGTTTTGATTTACATGCTGTTCAATGTTTGATGATCGCATTATTTTACATATGTTTCCAGCCCTGGATAATTCCAGCCCATCCGGCCACGAGTTACCATGTTTGCTGGGGTTAGGCCCTTAAAAAGGAGTACATTAATTAATACAATAAGAAAGAAACAAATAATATGTATTATTGAATATACTGCAGATGCAGTTAACAAAAATAATATTGCATATATATATATGGTCACATATGAATGCACATTTGATAGTACACCACTGATTTTGAGCAAGGATACAGTAAAGTACATTTACAGCTATAAAAGGCAGTTTACAAAAAAAAAAGAATATTCTATCATATTGCTCCAAACCTGACTTACTTTCTTCTGCAGAAAATGAAAGAAGATATTTTGAAGATTGGTGGCAACCAAGCCATTGACTTGACCATTCACCCTTGACATAGTGTTGTGGGGAAAATAATAATAATAATAATAATATTAAAAAAAGAAAACACTGAGATGCTTCCCATATGCTCTTTCTTTATGTTTCACAGAAGGAAGAAAGTCAAACAGGGTTGGAATGACACAAGTGTGAGTAAATGATGACAGAATTTTAATATTTGGGTGAACTGTCTTTTTAACAACAATAAGTTAACTCTTAATTTATGCAAGACTCTGATGTTGATCTTTCATCAGGCTCTAACTGGATTTGGTTTGAACTTTTTACTTTTGTTTCATTTTAAAATGAATTAGAACTAAACGTATTTAAGGAGAAGAAAGCTTTGTCATTTCATGGCAGGCTTTAATAACAGATTATTTTGCTTGTAACGTTTCTTCAACTGCCTTCAAAAATAGTCATTTTTCTTTTTTTCCTTTACTGCCAAGTCAGTATTTTGTATTTGTATTCTTTTTATCTTTGAAAAACGTACGTTTGTCATGTATTTTTGTTTGTGTATTGCGTTTTTATCGCATGTATTATTACGCAGCAGGCACCTTGATATCAATTTGATGTCAAATATTAGTCAAGACTTAATCAAGACGCTGCGACATCATTTTAAATTCAGTTTGGATGCTGATTTCTTCCAGTGGTAATTGGGTGAAAAGAGGAAGCGAATCCCAGCCTGAAACTGGTTTAATGTATATGTAGGCCAAAATGTTTGACGTTCAATTTACATCAAATCAACATCATGTCAAGTTTTTGAGGTCAGTTTGATTTGCATACTTAACCTGATTTCTGACTTCAGACGGACGACTTTTAAACAATAATTACCCACTGCGTTGCTAAATGCAAAAAAACATAATATATATATTGTAGCCATAGGTAAAACCATGCTCCTCATTGCTATGGGTTTATGATGAAAAAAATATATAATAATAATAATAAACAATAGAATTTGTCATGCAAAAATATTTTTTTGATGTTTGAAATGTATTACACACAAAACACTTTCAGTGTTTATTTAAAATAAACCGATGAGGCTCATGAGAAAATCACATTACACACACACACACTCACATCTTTATTCATGACTAAACATTTGATGAACACTTTTACAGAAGCTATGTGGTACAATGAAACAATAACAAACACCTACCAGTGTTAAACAGATGCTGGATTGCTACATTATCGCTACCTTTAACAAACCAGTGCAGGGCTGCAGAAGACCGCATCAGGATGAAGAGTGTGTGAGGTGCTCCTCGAGTCTCTGAGAGCTGTGTGTGTGTGATTCAGGACTCAGTCCTGCTCTGCGCTGGGCTGGCGTCAGGCTGTGTGCTGAGCGGAGACGAGGGCAGGAGGCTCCTCAAGCCTGAGAAGAGCTGGCTGACTAAGGCCTCCATGGACCGGCTATGTTCGGCCAGCACTCGGGCGATCAGACGCTCCTCTCGGAGGTGACTCTGCTCCAGCTGGCGCTCCAGCCATGTGTTCTGGCTCCGCTGCAGTCTCTCCAGAAAGCCCTGATACTGACTGTGCAGCGCAGCACAACACGACCGCCTGCGCTTCAGCACGCCTGAGAACACAGCAGACAACGGCTGCCATCAGCTGCATGGCTTCCTCTGATCACTGTACATGAACAGGTGTGCTGTGCACAATGCTGATAACTCTCTAGTTCTCAAATCCCGCTCACTTTCACACGCCGACAGATAAATAAAGATCCACCAGTAAATTAAAACAGACAACGTACTGTATATGTGATGCTGTGCAAACTAAACATATTTCATAAAGTAGGAGGCCTCTAAATATAATCGGATGTCAGGATGCAAGACTCTTTTCAGATTATAGTTGCATTATATTTTGAAAAAAAAAAAGAAAAAGAAAAAAAAAAAGTTACGTAATGTTGCTTTAATTCAGTATATTAAACTCGCCGGACACAATTTGAAACCTCACATAAATGAACCTCAAAGGCATAGAATCATTTAATGTATTAAATGACTGTTCATATTTAAAGGAATAGTTCCGCCAAAAACGAACAATGTGCTCATCCTCAGGATCATCCGAGATCAGGATGAGTGTGTTTCTTCATCAGATTTGTAGAAATGTAGCATTGCATCAGTGTCTCA